GAGCGGCTGAAACCCCTAAGGATGGTCACTGCTGGATGAGCTGGCTTTCTCCACTCCTTTTGCTGGGAGTAGTGACAGATACTACATTTGCAAGGAGCAATGAGGAGCTTCCATCTGTCCCAATTTTGGGGCAAAAATCCCCAGGAACAAGAGGAAAAGAGGAGGAGAGAGGTGATGGGCATCTCCCCCTTGAGTGCAGGTCCAGAACTTGGGGAGAGGGGTGAGGGCAGGGTCTGGGGCTGGCTGGCTGGCTGGCTGGCTGGCTGGCTGGATGGATGGGTGGATGGATGGATGGATGGATGGATGGATGGATGGATGGGTGGGCAGGGGCAATCCCAGGATGGGCAGGGGATGCTGAAACATGCCCGGCCTGTGGATGTGGGCAGCTCTGCTTCAGCTCCATGGCCAGCCAAACAGGTCCTGCCTCCAACACTGGCTTTAAATAAAACCTCCTTGGCTGCTCATTAAGCAGCGCCAGAGCCCGGGGCCTTGTCAGCTCCCATCAGCCAAGCTGTCCATCTTCACCGGCACCTCATACCTGCACGGCTCTGCCACCACACACTGGAAGGTATTTTTAGTGCAGCTGGGTCCCAGCATCCCACGGTCAGGGCAGCTGCCAGCACTGTGCCTCAGTTTCCCTGCAGTGTGGCTGCACTGCTCCCCTGGCCTGAGTTTTATGGTGGCTGTGACCCTCAGCATGGGTGCTGGCCTTGCCCATGCAAGGCGAAGCAGTACCATTTCATGTCTGCTGCCAAGTTGCTGTGCCAATGCCAAGGGCCCAGAACTACAGAGGTTTTAGGGCTGGATCAGAAATGGGAGGTACTTGGGGGTGCTGGGTGTCTGGGGCACCACCAGCTAATGGTATGCAGGGATAGATAGATAGATAGATAGATAGATAGATAGATAGATAGATAGATAGATAGATAGATAGATAGATAGATAGATAGATAGATAGATAGATAGATAGATAGATAGATAGATGCATGTATTCATGCTTGGACAAGCGAATGGACAGGCATCCTGAGTGTTGCCCTTCTTGACATCAAGCAGGATGGGTGCCCAGGACTGTGGCTGGGTGACAGATGTGTGCTAGGCCTGCTGTCTGGTGTCAAGGGGACAGCCACGGGAGCACCCAGTGGGCATGGGACTTTCAGTGCCAGTGGTGGGGAGGCACAGAGAACTGCCCATTAGCTGATGAGTCTGGTGTGGTTACAGTGACATGCATGAGGGCGGCCCCTGCTCTAGGCTACCCCCCCCCCACAAATGTGCTTGCAGAGATGATAGATTTCATGCTAATCCACATTTATCCTGCCCTAATTTCGCTGCAGAAGGTGAGGAGCGAGCGCCCAGACTTTTGTGCCAAGGGCTGGCTTGTGCCCAGCCCTGCCCAATGCTGCTAGCCAGGACTGGTGCTGGTGCTGTGCACACTGCCACGGCACCAGGGACAGGCAGAGGACCTCTCAAGGTGGCACCTTGCATGGCACCTGGCACCTCTGCCACAGCTGGGGAGTGACTTGAAGGTGCTGCCAGAGCACCCACAGGTGGGCGCTGGGTGAATGGCACCCTAAGCACTGCATGGCTGGGCATGGTTGGTGGAGCACCAGGCTGAGCTGTGGGCATGTGCAGCCACACCATGCCACGTTGTGCCACACTGTGCCATGCCATCTTGTGCCATGTCCACCTGCCATGGCTGCAGCAGAGCAGCCAGCGTCCCACCCCAGCAGCGCATCATGCACACACAGCACTTGAAATGTTTTATTTGGGGAAAGTGCTGTCGTTAGCAGGGATTAATTATTAAAATCGGAGCCATCTATAAAAGATGAGTGGCTGTGCGTGGGGCTGCGGGAGCACTGGCAGAGCCAGGCATGGGCCTGCTACCGGCATTGCCCGAGGACATGCTGCATTTGCTGGTGATGCCGCAATGGTACCTTGCACCGACAGCAGGTTTGGGCTCCCCATGGTAAAGTGAGTGCAGGCAGCGTGTGCCACGAGGTGGGGGCTGGACTGGAGACAGACGAAATTGTGCTAAATCAGCATTTGGGCGAAGCGGTGGTCTCTAGTGCCAGTCATCCCAGCAAGAGGTGGCAGGAGGCAGCAGGCAGCGCCGAGCTGTTTTTAGCGGCT